CATGTCAGTTTTCTGCTAAATTATTCATTGTGAGAAGCGTTTTGGTGAAAAAACAGCCTCTAACAACGTGTGTCAAATTCATACGAGCAGAATGAGGCTGCTCTCATAGTTTGACTGTCAGATTGAAGTGTTTAACGGTGTATTACACGTCTATTGTGAACATGCAGAGCAGATGATGTTCGATGTTTGTCTGATCTGCTAGTTCAGGTCCTGGTCAGTGGCCCGTCTGACCACTACCAGCGCTCTCCTGAATGATAAACCCTCACGGGCTCCAGCGTCTGCCCTGCGCTCTCACCTTTGTCCTACAGCACAAATACACGCATGTATTCAAAGATTTCAATAAGAAAATCATATTAAATGGTTTGATGTCATGACACATCAGCAATGCCCTACTTTGCTGGAGTGCTTGAGGTTTGAAAAGGCTGATTTGTTTAAAAATGGTCTGAAGTTGAAGGATTGTGGGGGTTTCAACTATCACGACCATTCATCACTCATCTCTATTTGGCCTCTGTGGGAATCTTATTGTGCTTCCCACCTTTTCTCTCTCTCGTTTCTTGTCAGTTTGAGGTGATGGTCCTAATCTGTTTATGGTGAGGGTGGAGGCAGGCCTGTGGGTTCTGTAACCTTATCATATCAGAGCAGCTTCCCGTTAGATTCCACAGATGCACAAATGCAATCTGCCTCTGTTTATGAAAGCTTCATATCGGGATAATATGCATGGCTTTTTATCAGTGTGCGGTAAGACTCTATCTCTGCACTGAAAGACCGTGTATGTGTGTGAAAGGGGAGGATGTGGCAATGGAGAGTGCATTTGCTGAGATTGAATTGTTATAATGGCCATTCATTTATTCACAGATGCACAACAATAGATGTTGTGGATTTCTGTGCATTTTTGTGGATTGTGAGTTTTTATGTGAAATAGAGGTCTGCAGTTTATATTATAGTTTATGTATTTATTATTGTTAGTTTTAGTATTAGTATTATTATTACTATACATTTTTCATTTTATTCTAATTAATGTTTTATGAATGATTGCTTATTTTTTTATGTAATAATTATATTTATATATTATTTATATCTAAGTTTATTTGCTGTATTGTTTGATTTCTGTAGGGGCTACAGTTCTTTAGGCCCACAGCTATGCACTCCTGGGTCTGTCCAAATGTTATACATCTGAAACTTACAGGTCTGAACCGAACACCTCCAGGGTTTCCACAAAGCCGAGGCAAAACTACTTTTAACCACCCCTGGTGACTCTCTTGCCAAAGCCTGCTGCCGTGTTCTGCAGTGAACGCTCTCGTATGTATTCATACAAGCATGCAAGCACGCGATTATGACTTCAAGCACATCTCTATGAGTGTGGACTGAATACATCAGTGCCTGCTTGAAAATATAGCTGTGGTTGTAGAAATTGTTTGCGGACGTGACACGAATTTGGTCAGCGGGTTTAAAAAAGTAGTGAAGTAACTCAGTTTGTCGAGTACTTTTTAGCACTATGGCATGCTAGAGGTTCTTATCGCTTTTTAATGAATTGAACGCTCCTGCAGTGAGTCTGAATGCTTTTACGACACAGTTAAAATCAAAGAATTAAAAGCATAACGTTGTTAGGATTGAATCCCTGCTGTTCTACCTAATCACATGTTTGAATGCACACGAGACGGGGGACGGCGAGAAAGTTAGATTTACTTTGGGATGGTTTCATAGGCCCACTGTTGAAAACGTGGTACTTAGTTTAATTGCAGGAATGAAGGATTGAGAAATGAGGAGAGACCGTGCAAGGGCCTCATCCAAAAAGTGAGTGGGATATCAGGGCTTATTTACACTGTGATGGTTTCACTGTGCATCGGGGGGATACATTCGGTTTACTTCAACTCTGAGTGGGTTTCTGTACTAAAACTTGAATTTTATATTTTCTGAAGAAAAGGTGAGTGGTACCTCTCTGTGCAAAAACTTTGGAGAGTTTTTAATGTTTTTTTTTTTTATGCAGTTGTTAGGGTGTTTTCTAAGGCAGGATTTTTAAACTAGGAGTTAGAATATTACTTTAAAATATTTTTACATTAATTTTTTTCTTACACATTTACACAATTTTCTTGCTAAAATGTGGATACATATATATATATATAGAGAGACAGAGAAATCTATCTATCTATCTGTCTGTCTGTCTGTCTGTGTATCTATATATACACTCTGGACCACAAAACCAGTCATAAGGGTCAATTTCTCGAAATTGAGATTTATACATCATCTGAAAGCTGAATAAATAAGCTTTCCATTGATGTATGGTTTGTTAGGATAGGACAATATTTGGCCGAGATACAACTATTTGAAAATCTGGAATCTAAGGGTGCAAAAAAATCTAAATACTGAGAAAATCACCTTTAAAGTTGTCCAAATCAAGTTCTTAGCAATGCATATTACTAATCAAAAATTACGTTTTGATATATTTACTAGAGTTGGGGTACTCAGACTCGTACTCGGACTCGAGTACAGTTTTTTAAAGGACTCGGACTTGTCACTGACTCGGATGCATTTTTACTCGGACTTGACTCAGACTCGAGCCTTTCGGACTCGGAAAATATGTCAGAGTCCAACCGAGTCCAGGGACAGTTGACGGACATGTCACTGACTCAGTGCATTATCAAATGCCGAGTTCTCTTTTGCTTAAGTTCTCTTAAGTTCTGTTATTGCTACATACTTACACGAAAAGTTATGTCAAAATGCCCATCTTGGAGACTATTCATGTAAATGCAGTCGGTTTTGTCTTAAGTGAACTTGAACAGTTGGGAGAAATACGTATTTGTCAAAATATTTGATCTATGCGTCAGATCTTAAAGCAACAGCATAAACCTGCAGCCGCCGACTGCGTCATAAATGTTAATCAAACAAAAGAAAAGGAGAAAATCACTCACTGCTCTTGATTGAATCACTTATTAACTTTAATAAGAATCATCTATATTTAATGTATACAGTGAAGATTATTTTTGCATTTATTACTTCATGAAATGTCTGTAGTAGGCTATAGCTATCTTTGCGGCAATAGTTCCTTTTCAGTCGGTCACTCTCGACGTCACGTCGGATGACTGACGAATTGGGATCTCGCTTAGAGAGACCAATCTGATCAGCGGCAGCTGGATGCAATAATCGCATGCCAATGTGCATTGGCTCGTTTAGTTTACACTCGAAGTAGATTGGTTTCTCTAAGCGAGATCCCAATTCGTCGGTCATCCGACGTGACGTCTCCGTTCCCTCCCTCAGGGAACGAGGGTTACCATACGTAACCGAGACGTTTCTATGGGTCCAAAATCACCTTGGGTGTGCATTATTTTCTAATAATTCACCGGCTCGTCATCAATTATTCCTTACATAATGTAATTTATTGTAATTAAAGTAACTATAAATGCATTCAAAAATAAAACAGGTGTGAGTTGCCTGTGACTTATGGAAAGTATATGTAGGGCTTTTATACACAGTGCGTGCCATTGTACAAACTAGGTTTATCCCTCACAGCCTCATTTTCATCCAAGAAAAAATTCAAAATGCCCTGTCTAAGGGTTCCGTGTACTTTGGCGTCCATTAATTTTTCGTTTACCCAGAAATTAAAATGCAGTTTCTTCTTTAATGGTTCAAACACTGATTTGCTGGGGTATATTTTTAGCAATAGCCAAAAAATCATTGTATGGGTCAAAATTATCGATTTTTCTTTTATGCCAAAAATCATTAGGATATTAAGTCAAATAGGACAGCACGTCAAATCTACGCGGACCGCGAGCGCTGTGATTGGTCTGCTAGTACCCCATCCCTCCATATGTATTTGAGTTTTGTGTGTGTGTTTTGCACTTTAATATATTTTAATGTTACGTCTTTTTATTTACAATAAAACAAAGCAAAGAACAAGTGTCTTATCATTTATTATAAAACGTAGCATTACATCACTTTGTTGTCTGCAACAAACAGTTGTTCTGCCATGGTACAATTCTTTGTGGAGATTGAAAGAATGCCATCTTCTCCAGTTCCGTTGTCGTCTCGTTTTTTGTAGTTTTAAATAAATGATCTGTTCTTTGATATTTATTTGCCGCACGCCACTGATATATACAGTGTATATATATATATATATATATATATATTATAATTAGCTTTGACTTCAGTGCAGTGACAATATAAAAGCCAGTAGTAAACAACATGTTGTGAGATGTAATGCAATGCTTTTCTTGCATAGAATAGTTGGGTCTTGGCTGTATATGAAATGCATATAATTCTTTCAAGGGGTTCATCATATTTTGGCATCCATAGCATCTAAATGCTTGAAAACCCCTGGTCTAGGACATTATTAGGGTAATACTCTTCATGCAGGATTTAAACAGTTAAGGATGAAGGAAAGCAGTAAGAGCAATAAATGGAGAGCAGGAGGCTGTTCTCAGAGTGCCATTTCTCACGAAAGAATGGTTTCAGTCTTGAGTTAGTTTCATCTCCTCCTCGTTCACACACTGTTCATCGTTCTCCTCAGGGAATCACACCACCACCAGCCGCCCAACCTGCTGCTCCTGCTGCCTGTTTCTCTCTTTTTCTCTCCATCTGTCTTTTTGGGCTGAATCAACCAACCTTGTGTTACAGCTACTATTTAATCAGAGAACGAATCCATTACTCAAATGTGTGTTTTAAGCACTGTCAATCAATTAAAACTTAAATGAATTCATTACATGAAATGCCAATTACTCAAATTAAACACAATTTACAAAAATTACAATTAATTGCACATTTAAATATTGAAGATAATTCCCAAATTAAGATAATTCGAAAACATTGTGGCAGATGAGCCAATCATTGAACAGATATTACAAGTAGAATGTGTCGTTTGTGAACAGCTTGACATGTTTTTTTTTTTTTTGTATTTATATGCACCAGAGTGTGTTCTAGTTGATTGATTTTTGGATTCTTATTTCATCAGACAAGGGTCGATTTTATGTGGAAGCTCTGAAAATGTCTTTCTCTGTTTCCCATAGCTGGGAGGTGGTGCGGTTCCTCCTCTCAAACCTGCGCTGGTGGATGGAGGAGTATCACTTTGATGGCTTCAGGTTTGATGCTGTGACTTCAATGCTGTACCACCATCATGGCATCGGTTAGTTGTTCTGCACCTGTAAACAAGCCATCATTCATTGTAAAAACAAATCATTGTCTTAATAGTATTTGGTCTTTTCCTGTTAAAATATCTAAGTATCAATGTAAATTTCTTTCTTTCTTTCTTTCTTTCTTTCTTTTTTAATCATTTATTTAATGTTTTCAGTTCCGATCCCTCATGTGGTTGATTAAAAAGAATCAGCTCATAAGAGTCATTCAGAAATCTGTCTACACTGGTTGTGCTGTATGCTGATTCACTAAAAGCTAAAAGAATCGGCTCATAAGATTAATTTGTTCAGGAATCGGTTTATACTGGTTGTGCTGTATGCTGATTCACTAAAAGCTAAACGAATCATCTCATAAGATTAATTAATTCACAAATCAGTCTACACTGTGTGTGCTGTATGCTGATTCACTAAAAGCTAAAAGAATCAGCTCTTTAGAATCATTTGTTCAGGAATTGGTCAACACTGGTTGTGTTGAATGCTGATTCACTAAAAGCTAAAAGAATAGGCTCGTAAGAGCCATTTGCTCAGGAATTGGTCTATACTGGTTGTGCTGTATGCTGATTCACTAAAAGCTAAACGAATCATCTCATAAGATTAATTCATTCAGAAATCAGTCTACACTGTTTGTGCTGTATGCTGATTCACTAAAAGCTAAAAGAATCATTCAGCTCGTAAGATTAATTAATTTAGGAATAGGTCTATACTGTTTGTGCTGCATGCTGATACACTAAAAGTTAAAAGAAACGGCTCAAAGGCATCATTTGTTCAGGAATCGTCTACACTGGTTGTGCTGTATGCTGATTCACTAAAAGCTAAAAGAATCGGCTCATAAGATTAATTTGTTCAGGAATCGGTTTATACTGGTTGTACTGTATGCTGATTCACTAAAAGCTAAAAGAATCGGCTCATAAGATTAATTTGTTCAGGAATCGGTTTATACTGGTTGTACTGTATGCTGATTCACTAAAAGCTAAATGAATCATCTCTAAGATTAATTCATTCACAAATCAGTCTACTCTGTTTGTGCTGTATGCTGATTCACTAAAAGCTAAAAGAATCAGCTCTTAAGAGTCATTTGTTCAGGAATTGGTCTATACTGGTTGTGCTGCTGATTCACTAAAAGCTAAAAGAATCATCTCATAAGAGTAATTCATTCAGAAATCAGTCTACACTGGTGGTGTTTTATGCTGATTCACTAGACGCTGAAAGAATCAGCTCATAAGATTCATTCGTTTAGGAGTTGGTCTACACTGGTTGTGCTGGATGCTGATTCACTAAAAGTTAAAAGAATCGGCTCATAAGAGTCATTCATTCAGGAATCGGTCTACACTAGTTGTGCTGTATGCTGATTTACTGTGAAAACTGAAATTAACGTCACTCTGAATAAGAACCAGTTTTCTAATCCTACCATTAAACTCACTAAATTGTTTAATTCATGCTTAAAATAAGAAAAGAAAAAAGCAATTTTGCAATAGGCTAAGAAAAATTAATGACAGATGCAGCCAACTCTCTGAAAACATGCAATGCAAATTTGCTTTTCATTCTCAAGTAGGTCTAACATTTATCCTATGTAAGGACATTTCATTTTTACTGAAAATGAGACAAACTTACTGATTAATTTATTTTATTTAATATGCATTGCTGTGTCCATATAATGTTTTATTTACCTCAAGAAGAAAATGGTGTACTTCATATATGTCAAATGTCACTGTCTATATTGGTCTATAGAGAGAGCGAGTCTGTATAAGTGCCTCTGAATCAGTTCAATCAGATGAAATGTGAAGGCTTTGATGCATTGATTCATGAAGCGTGTGTAAGAGGCATGTCAACTATGTCATTTCTGTTGTATTAATAAAGCTCCGAATCATCGAATATGGAGGAAAAGTACAAACTGCATGAATAGTTTTGAAAGGCCCTCTTAGACCATTATCATAAATTATGGGAGACCTTGGCCGCTCTGTGCATATTACAGTAAAATGATTACACTTGTGAAAAGATTGTGATGCCATTAATCCATATCCCACTGGACATTTTCTCTGAATCACACAGTCAAATTATCTGGTTTTGCCCAGGCACGTCGTTTTCGGGGAACTACAGCGAGTACTTCGGGATACATGTGGATGAAGATGCACTTGTCTATCTGATGCTGGCCAATCACATTCTCCACAAGCTCTACCCACAATGCATCACTGTAGCAGAGGTGAGAGTCTACCTGCACCGCGGTGCATTTCTATTTTTTCACAGGAGGTATAATTTTTCCTCTTTCCGACCAATTACAGCTCCCATTACCTTTTTCTCGCTCCCAAGTGGAAATTTCATTTCATTCTTTTCTATTCTCCTGCTCTGTGCTGGTGTGTTTATTTAAAGCTGAGCTCCTGTGAGGTCGGAGCTGAATGCTGTGGCTAATGGATCAGGCTGATAATTGGGTGATTAAGGCCAAAAGATTCAAGAAAAGAGCAGGAGAGATTTTCAGGGGCAGGCTCCGTATGGATCTGCGCCACAGTCTGTTTTGCTCTCTTCTTCGCTGGTCTCATATGACCCACAGGCAGATTGTAATAGAAGCAGGCATTTTTCAAATTGCTTTAATTCGCCCATCTGCCAATGTTATTAATCAAAAGTACAGAATGAATGGGGAAGTAGCAGAGTACAACAGCTGAAGATGGACGGAATCTGTATCTCAAGGGTTGCCTCAAACCAGACAACATTCGTTCCATACATTTACTCAATCCCAAACCCTCTCACTGCAAGAAAATAAAATCTGAATTAATATTTTTGTTCAAAAACCCTTTGAAATTAATATTCTCACTGTCCAGCCAATGGACACTTTGCTTTTGAGCATCAAGAGTTTTGCCAAAGAAAGTGACTCCTTCAGTTAAAGTGTGTTCTGGATTGCCATTTTCAATCCTTACATTTTCTTAACCCTAATGTGCATATAAATTGGGAAATTGGACACAGGAATGGTCAGATCTCAATGGAACTGCCAGTCTCGATCCAAAATGTTCTCTCTATATATTATTTTTTCTCAGTTTTTCTCTGCACCTTGGCTTCATCTTTGCTGAAAATTCCAGTTCAAAATAGTCTAAACTGGTCTAAGGTATATTAACTGGTTAATAGCTTTGTGTGAATTTGTGTCATTATCCACTGAAAATCTTGACATCCACCACAGCTATCCTTAGCACATTTGTTAGAAAAGTAGTCAGATTTGTGAATGAAATAATATTGTAAATCAAATATTTTCAATGAATCAGTCGATCCAATTCACAAAACCAGTCTGAATGATTCATTCACAAATAGGACTAATTTGATACTCAAGTTCAACTCACTGATTCAATGCTCCTGTTGCAGGAGGAAATGGCTTAATGGAGGGGAGATATACAAAGCTTCTGGACACATGGAAAAAATAGTTTGGAGCACTTTTATGATGCTTTTAGAATCAGAATCAGAAAGAGCTTTATTGCCAAGTATGTTTGCACATACAAGGAATTTGTTATAGTGTCACAAGCTTCCAGTACACAGAGACAACATCTGTCACGGTGCGTGCGGGGAGATGAAGCGAGGACTCAATTGCAGGAGAAATGGTTATTTATTTTAAACATAAAAATTAAACAAAAACAAATTCAAACCACCCCGAGGGGGAAAAACAGACAGGCAAGCCTAAAGCGGCACCACATGCAGACACGAAACACACACAATGAGAAATGACGGATCAGCACAGGATGACAGACACCAGGAGAATAAATAGGAACCAAACGAGGAGGCTAACGAGGGAGACACAGGTGGAGCAACTTAAACAATAACGAGGTAACAAGATGGGAGGGGCAAGACAATAGACAGGAGAGAGCACATGGCAACAGACAAACACAACACAAGCCATGTGCTCCCAGCCAGACAGTTATTGAAGTGCATAGAACAGACTCGATGACGGCTGAGTAGAACTGTTTCAGCAGCTCCTGTGGCAGGTTGAATTTCCTCACCGGTCGAAGTAAGTACAACCTCTGCTGGGCCTTTTTAACAGTGGAGTCAATGTGAGTGTCCCACTTCAGGTCCTGAGAGATGGTGGTGCCCAGGAACCTGAATGACTCCACTGTCGTTACAGTGCTATCCATGATGGTGAGTGGGGGGAGTGCAGGGGGGGTTCCTCCTGAAGTCCACGATCATCTCCACAGTTTTGAGGGTGTTCAGCTCCAAGTTGTTAAGACTGCACCAGACAGCCAGCTCTTTAACCTCCTGTCTGTAAGCAGACTCGTCTCCATCCTTGATGAGACCGATGACTGTAGTGTCATCTGCATACTTCAGGAGCTTGACAGAGGGGTCTTTAGAGGTGCAGTCGTTGGTGTTTAGGGTCATTTGTGGCTTTTACTCCTCATTCACTTTAATTACACTGAAAAAAATGAGTCTCTTTCTCTGTATTTTTGTCTTGTTTTCCAGTACAAATATCTAAACATTCTTAATTCAAGATACATTTACTTGGGAAGCAAAGTGATGTAAGATATTAAGTCTTTTTTCTGATTTAGTGAGTTTATGCTTAAAAAAAATATGTCTGTGGTGCAAGAAAAACAAACAATACAAAGGGGAATAAGATTATTTTTATTACTTGATTTACTGATAATTTTCTTGTTTTAAGCAAAAAAACAAATGTAATTTTGTTTTTAAGAAAACAAGACTAAGGGCCAGATTTACTAACAGCTTGCGCCAGTGCAAACCGTCTTTTTGCGTTAAAACAACTGTCAGGATTTACTAAAGACGTGCAGTGAAGAATTAGCGCTGAAAAGGTGTGGACACAGTTATTTTTGTGCCTGACTTTATATGCATTTGCAGGAGTTTCCCTTTCAGACGCAAAATTTAAGGGAGGAGAGTATTAAAATGAATCATGCAACTAACGTTTGAGCTCATCAAATTACTGGTATTTATGCCATTATTTAAAGCATAAAGAACATGTCTTAAAGCAGGCGGTAATTTGCGCTGCTCTTGGTAGATTCCACTGGTCATTGTAGAAATGATCTGGCTGTGTCTGTGTTCTTTAATGTGCGCATTGTTAGTGAATCACCCGCAGAATTTTCTCCTCCCATCTGCGCTTTTATGGAATTGCACTCTAATGCTAATTTGCTAATTTAGTAAATTTGGCCATAAATATCTGATGTCATTTTGCTTGCCAACTAAATGTATCTTGGTTAACGAATGGTTAGATATTTGTCATGACCAGCTTGGACCAGATAGAAGCCAGGTGTTCCAAGACACAGCTTAATCTGCATTTTTCCAAAAGGCAGTGCACATGTTCACACATTTACTGCTTTCCATTCCTCATGGATTTTATGTAGGATGTATCAGGGATGCCAGGCCTGTGCAGGTCCATTGAAGAGGGAGGACTGGGCTTTGATTATCGTCTGACCATGGCCGTGCCAGACAAATGGATCCAGGTGAGCTTCCATCTCCTGTGATTTCTCCCTCTCCACACAGATGTTGCTCCTTTGTGTTTGGTTCTGTGCAAATGATGTTGTTTGATGTTTGCAGTTCACCGTTTTGGGGTCATCTCTCTTTATGAAGCTGTGTATTTGTAGTCTGCGGCTGTCATGCGTCCAAATCCCCTGCTGGCTCGGCTCTATCTGCGCATGTATCAGCGTGGGCATTTCCGCTTTAATTCGAGCCAGGTTTTTGCATGACCGTGCCTTTTTAAAATGACAAAAGGAAGAGTATTGATTGAGTTTGCTTCGTGAGTTCAGGGTGTAATCTGAGATCTGGCACAGCCTGTTCAGATAGCAGCCCTCTTTTTTTTCTGTTGGGCTTCTATTTTAGTCCCACTTTACCCATCTTTCATTCGTCCTTTGGCAGCATTTTGAATGCCATTAAAAGGTCTGTGTATTGATATCCGCGTCTCTATCTCTCTGTTACAGCAAGCCTTTCGTTTGTGTGATTTTTTTTGTGCTTGTTCTGTCTCTCTCTCTCACACACACACACACACACACACACACACACACACACACACACCTCTCGTTCTTCAGGCTTATTCAATATGACTTCCAAAACTCTAATCACTTTCAAGTCTCGTATAGGAAAGTTAAACATTTTCACGCTTGGCACCAAACCAGAACATAACCCCCGAAAAATAATTGAAAACAATTCAATCATATAAAAAATAGACTTGCAAATTGTATTGTATTTTAGCTGAGCACAGAATATCAAACGTATACCTGTTTACAATCTTAAAGGAACAGTTAAACCCAAAATGACAGTCCTGTCATCATTTTAGCCATGTGCCAGTATTCGTTAATGTGATATATTCAGGATAATGAATATGCACGATATTGTTATCGTGGGCACTTAAAAATACCTATAATAATTATTTATTTCAAATTATTTCGAATTTTGAATGCATTTTAAGAATACTTTTCCCATCAACTGGTCACAATGCACAACACCGCTGATGTAAACAAAGCACGGATGAGAAGCTCATGGTGGAACGCGTGAGAGATCTCTGGATGAAAGCGCACATTCACTCTCTGACAGCAGATGGCACTGAACAGCATAAATGCAGCCATTAACCCGGAAACCTGTAATCAAACAGCTGTGCTACTTTCTGTTTCTGAAATGTGTTTAAATTATTTAAATAGCCATTCAGATTTTTGCATTCGCTATGGTGTTCATCACAGCGCCAAATACTTAAATATTTAGACTTAATAGGCTATTTATTTTCAAACTTTTTTACATTTTAATCTGGACTACAACATGCCCTAGATATTGTTTGAAAATGTTTTGATTCTTTATTGTTCGGTCACACTTTACATTAGGGCTTCATTAGATAACATTAGTTAATTCATTAGTTAACATAAACTGCCAATGAAAAATTCTTCTAAACATTCATTAATCTTAGGTAATTCCAATATTTAATAAAATTAAAAGTTGCAACCGTGTTATTTAATGAGCTAACATGAACTAAGAGTTTTATTTTTTAACAAAGATTAATAACTTTTATAGCAAATGTAGCTATTGCTCATTGTGATTGTTAAGGCATTAACTAAGGTTAACTAATGAGATCTAATTGTAAAGTGATACCTATTGGTCTTTATAATTATTTTGCACTTTAATCTGTGTAAAATGTTTAATAATTTTTTCTGTATTGCTTTAATGTATTTAAATGTTATTTTTGTTATCAGAAAAAAGTTATTAAACCTGTTATACTGTATTATGACAACACTTTTTTTTAAACTAAATTTCAATATCATGATAATACCGTATACCGTGATAAAAGCATTAGCAATTAATCGCAACATCAAAATTTGATACCGGCATATCACTACATCATTTACTCACTCTCATGTGGTTCAAACCCGAGTGACATTATTATGTTTGGGGAATGTTGATGCTGCTCTTTTCCAAAAGCATACAGGTAACGTGTGTCCTTTTTCAGGTCATCTAAAGACATTTGATAGCTTTGTGTGGGAACAGATTTTTCACAAATTTATGTCACTATCATTGTCACCATACACTGAAAAAAATTATTCATTGAATTTACTAATTTTTTTTAAGATAAGTGGTTGCAATCAATTACTATTGCAAATTAATTACTATTAATAGCTACATTTAAATAAACAAATTTAGTTGACTAACTTTCAACATTTTTTTTAATTGTAGCTATAATAAATTGTTTGCAACCACTTACCTTAAAAAAATGTAGTATCATTTTTTTCAGTGTAGCGCTGAAATCTCATCTTATGCTTGTGTATGGTCATATTATGCCCCAATTGTGGTATCAATGACAATGGCACTAATTTTTGCATATCTTATAATCAATTATGTTGCGCCAACTTTAAACATGTGAAGGCATTTACAAAAAAAAAATGAAATCATGCTAAAAGTTATGCTAATAATCTTCTTAATGAGTGTTTTTATTTAAAGAAAAATATCTAAATATCACTTAGAAGCAAGATTGCATATTTGTATAACTATAATGTTAACAATGTTTCTATTTCAAATAAAAGCTATTTTTTTAACCTTATGTTCATCAAAGAAACCTGAAATAAAATGTATCATGATTTCCAAAAAAATATTAAGCAGCAAAACTGTTTTCAACATTGATAGTAAGAATAAGAAAAGTTTCTTAAGCAGCAAATCAGCATATTAGAATGATTTCTGAAGGATCATGTGACACTGAAGACTGAAACTTCAGCTTTGCCATTACATGAATAAATTACATTTTAAAATGTATTAGAATAGATCAAAGAAATGCAGCTTTGGTGAACTTAAGAGGCTTCAGAAGACTTTGAGTACAACCCACAACTCCTATGTACCAGTTTTATGGTATAATTTTATGTTATTTTTAGATGAAAGTCATATGGGTTTGGAAGAATGGGGGTGAGTAAATTAATTTTCATTTTTGGAAGAACTTTTCTTTTAATCCCTTGACAAACTACAGTAACCCTGTCTCTGTGACCCCCCTCAGACTAAATTTATGTCCACAATTCACCTCTCCATGCCATAACTCCCGTTTTCACAATGAGGTGTTCAAAAGGGCAAACTCCCTCATGATTTACTACTGAATTCCACCTCTTTCTCGCTTTCTGTGTCTCTCTTCCTCTCCTCCTATGTCACACACAGCGTTAGGGCTTCTCAGCTGTGCGCTGCGCTGTGACAGAGGTCGGCTGAGCGTGGCTCACTTGTGAAATTAAAATGTCCGCCTCTCCGAATCGATAATGCAGATGATGAACAGAGTGGAGTGAAACAGGAGGAGAAGAGGGCCACGGTCTATAATGAAACCTCCCCAAAAGCTAATGAAATCTTTAGAGATTTCCATAAAGAGAGCAGCTGTTCTCTCTCCCTCACTGTATTCGGTGATGAATACATTAATATGTGGAATCAATAGGTTTATTAACGATGCCGTTTGATTTGCGGGGCCGAGAGGAGAGCGAGAGTTCAGTCATACTTCCTGAAGAAGGGAAATGGAAATGAAGTTATAACTGAAGAGCAGATTAGATCACAATGAGTTTCTGGTGGCCTGTGGCGGGTGGCAGTTATAATGTCTGCTGCTGTCTGTTGGGTGGAGAGGTCAACTTTAACTGAGACATACAGTATCATATAGGTGTTTCTGTGTGCATTACCACTTAAATTCACATTCCCACATAAGCATCATGGCATATTTTATTTTATTTATTTTTCTTGTTTAGGTTTTTCTTGTCTAGGTTTTGTTTTGGTTGTGTTGAAGTTTTATTTTTTTCTGTTGTATTCTGTTTTATTTTAAATAAAAAAATTATTTTACTTAAATATTTTTCTTTTATTTTTAATTCAGGTTTGTTTTGTTTTTGCTGAAGTTTAGTTATGTTGTGTTCTTTTTTTGTTTTGTTTCATTTTGTTAGTGTTGACGTTTTGTATTGTTTGTGTTATCTTGAGGTTTTTGTTTCACTTGTGTTGTGTTTAAGTTTTGTTTGTGTTGTCTTGAGGTTTTTGTTTTGTTTGTGTTGTTTGAGGTTTTTGTTTTGTTTGTGTTGTTTGAGGTTTTTGTTTTGTTTGTGTTGTCTTGAGGTTTTTGTTTTGTTTGTGTTGTCTTGAGGCTTTTGTTTTGTTTGTGTTGTTTGAGGTTGTTGTTTCATTTGTGTTGTTTAAATTTTGTTTGTGTTGTCTTGAGGTTTTTGTTTCATTTGTTTCGTTTGTGTTGTGTCAAAACAACACAATATTACAATATTAAGTAGCAGCTATAACACGTCTTCACCATATGGCTTCAAAGCAGCCATAGAATTACATACTGTTACTGTGTGATCTTCTTTTATTCTTATGCAAAATGTTTATTTTATATAGTAACCCTTAAAGCAATAAGCCCATCCAGTGCACATCATGGCTAACATGGTTATAATAACAATACAGCACAACCTCTCATACCTTATTGTATTGTAAGTATTACGCATATTGTTAACTACACAAGCACTTAGCGTGGATCTTTGTGAGCAGGTTTTAGTCTGTTATGAGTTTGATCATTTATTTTATCTGTGTGTAGTCGTGAGTATTTATTTACGTGTGAGCGTATGTGCGAGCGATCTCTTATGTGCTCTGGGAGAAAGAGGTCATGGTGGCAAATAAAGCCATCGTGTGTAATTACCAGCAGTGCCACTAGAAAACAGATTAATATCCTTCTGGCCTCTCTGGCTAAAAGCACTCCACAACCCTTATTTGTTTAATTCATATCCTGGTGCTGAGCTCCATGTGGCTGTTGATTTGATTAATTTGCTTAAGCAAATTAACTCGAATTATCTAATAATCTTCCATTACCTCCACACCCACGTCAACACCCCACCCTCGTGCTCGTCTGCTCTCAAGAGGAACAATTAAAGCTTGTAACGCATAATTGTAATGGGAAGTCACTCTTTTTGGCTTCCTCATTAGAGCATATTGGAGTTTTAGTTCAGCCTCCGGTGGATGAATTATGGATCAA